GGTCTTGAGTGCTTCAGTGCCATCAGCACTAAAGGCATTTGGACCTCCAGAGGCTGCTGGTACTGCAAGACTTTGCGAGATGGTAGACCAGTTTTTCGATTGTCTGAATGTAAGAAGTCTTACTGAGCATCAGAGAGAGCGTCAACCATTCCTGGCACCTTACACTTCTGCTCAAGACAGAAGGTATGTTAAAATACATATATGTTAAAATAAAATTAGTCAAGACATGAAATCTGTTTTATGCTCAAAGATTATATTTCACATGGGCTCAAGTTTACATTGCTGTTGAACTGAAACTGTTGTACTGAATTGGACAGAAGTATTATACACTTGGGTATTTTAGAATCCTGACATTAATAACCTTTAAATGCATCACATAACATGTTTATAATTTATTCATTTATATGTTTCAATTTATGAATATTTTATAGGTTTCAGTTCTTGATGGAATTCCTTGATTACTTACAAAGCTGGAAGGAGAGTACAGAAAACAGACCACGCAATCACTCAAAATGCAAGATCACCCATGTTCCTCTCATGGCAAACTTATGAAGGCTTCTAGATATCTGTTTGATCAACCATAGAATGTACCAAGTTCCTTCTACCTGAGGGGATGGAAAATGTCTTAACTGAGAGGTTCTTCCAAGATCCTGTAGAAGAGTTCTTCGGCAAGCAGAGACAGCTTGGCCTAAGAAGTGACAATCCTGACGTTAAAGCTTTTGGTTACAACAGTAACACCATCAGGATTGAAAGATCCATTTCTTGCCAAAGTGGAAATACAAGAGGCAGAAAGGACAAAAAGAAAGCGTGGGTTCAAGTAACAGACGAGAAGTTACCAAGCAGAAAAAAACGGAAACCTGACTCTAAATGATACTGTAAAAAAGAATAACTATGCTGAACATGTTAATTGATCTAATAAACCATGATATGTACGTGAGTTAGTCATCAAGAAGAGATTGAAAGTGAATTATATTTTCTGTGATGTTAATTCATGCTAAGTTACATCACTGTATCACACTGTATACACCTATTTCAAGGACACAGTCCATGGTCTTGATTGCCATATATAATTAATATATTCAATTTCAGTTATTCAAATATTTTGAATATATTATTAAAAAACTCATACATAATTAATGAGCTACTAGGCCAATAGAATGAGCCTATTTGGTCATATGCATGGACCTTTATATCTGATAAAACACTACTTATTAGTATGTCAGGATGTCAACCGATTTCAGTGAACAGTCAAGAGCGGTTCTATTTTACTTTATGCGTATTCAATGTGGGATGACAAGAGTGCTTTTAAAGTGATTCGCGCATGATCAGTTTGCCCTATTTATCTCTGAACATATTTGTACGGCAATTTCTYCAAGAATTTTAACGGATTTGAGTTTCAAATTAGTGTTGGAGTTTTTTTAAGCCGTTTAAGGTTATCCCGGACACTATTTTCGTCAAATCTTTCAAAATTTTTAAATTAGTCTGAGCGAATTAAAAGAAGTATATCTACAACTTTGACTAAAGCTTATGCCGATGTATTTTTTTCTAAACTAGTTATAAACAAAAAACGTTTTGAGGTTCTCTGAAACGTGTTTTACTGCTGACTGCGGCTGTCATCGTAAGTCTTGGCGAATTAATAGTCACGTTATCAAAGCACGACGGGGTCACATAACATCACAAACTTCACATCAAGCGATATAAAAACCAAAGCGATACTTATTCCACTGTATACTTGAAAATATCCTTTGCCAAGGCCTTTGGGATTCGCCATTTTGAGAAAACTTACTGAAAATTATTACTATTCGCTGCACAGTCCGCGAAGAAGGTCAAACAACAAGGTCACGTTCGCTGAATATGCTCTCCCACCGTTCTTGTATCGTACTTCTTCCTTATGCTTATTGGCTACCGAACGAGTACGCTTGTCAACACTTGATCCCTAATCCTTTAATCCCATTAAATTTCAACTTCATGTTTCGTAAAAGTAGATTTCGATAAAATACTATAATTCAAACGGTTCGTTTGCAGAACTTATCAGAAGAATTTCCTCTAAATTTTGCATGTCGATTCGGACATTACTGAATTTTCAAAGTGTGTCTGCGTTTTTCTTTTTAAGTTTTCTTTGTCGAGAAATAAACAGTTTTGTGAGGGATGAGGTAAAATAGGGCCTAGTCTAACTTTAAAATCGAATAAAAAAATAACGAAGCGTTGAAAAGCCAAACGCAGACACACTTTTGCAGAACAATGCCTTGGTAACAGGATTATCAAAAAAGTTTATCTTTCTACGTAAAACTTTCTGCAAACGAATCTCTCGCGCGGAGACACTGTGTTCTCGTCAAGTCCTTGATGTCTTTTAAAATAATCAACTTTATCAAAAAATACGTCCAGATATGGATTCTTTGCCATTTTGCTTCTCAGAAAATGTATAATTTTTGCGGGTTTCCTATTAAATCGCGCGAGATATGATTTTTTTAAACACCTCCCGGTAGTGTCCGGGGTAACCTTAAAACACTCGAGATCGTTATTGATATGCAAATATGTATGTCATAAACACAAAAGGTTTTTTGCTTTTTAGATGAAATGCACATCAAGTACAACAAAATCTGCAGAGAAAGTGCTTCCCTCAACCTCATCATCAAGTGAAGTTGTACATGGATCTTCAAGTGAACTTACCACATCAAGTGCCAATGTAAGAAACAAATGATTATTGGACATTACCTAAAAAGTTTTCAAAATGTTTTGCACAAATGTCAATGATTACAGCTTTTTGTACATATATATGTTTACAATAATTGCATTTTATCTTGTAGAATACTTAACAAACATTCTTTTTTCCAGAATGAATTGTGTTCTCTGGATACAGAAATTGTAAGTATATAAATGCACAGAGTGCTTTATCTAGGATAAAAACTGGAATGAACCAATTTGCAAGCGTCCTTGATTATTTACAAAATAAACTTGCCATTGTATTGAGCCATTGTATTGAGCCATTGTTTTGAGCCTTGCAGTTGAGACCTGTACATATTTACTATGGGCGCGTTCAGACTAGGAATTGTTAGCTAGCTTGAGGCTCGACTAGCTAGCTAAACAGTCAATGACCAGTGTGAACGGCATTTTGTTAGCTAGCTAAAAATTTACACGACATCTAAGGAATGTCGCCAAGAACAAAAGAAAAACGACCGGAAATCTTAAATTCTCAAGCCATGTCAGGACATGGCTTGTAGCGAGTGTAACTAGATAATCCCCTGACTATTGACAGATTTGTATTTATTTTGTGTAATTATACACCCTGAGCGAGGGTTCTCTTTGAATGATTTGACCTTCGATCAGTNTTAGAGAAATACAGCAAAAGGCTCTTAAAGAGATAGTTCTTGGAAAAGATGTCCTTGTTATTCTTCCTATACTGGCTCGGGCAAATCTCTTATTTTTCAAACAGCGCCACAAGTGTATTTTCCTCGTTTTTCTGGCAGATAATACATCCATTTGGATTATTAAACCCTGCACATGTTTTACTTGGGGTCATTTCCATTCCTTTCTCTTTTTTAAAGCGCTAACTATTACATTATATCGCTACTTCGCGAAGTTTTCATTTCACATAATTTCCCGCCTTGTAGCAAAACCTTTACAGCTGTTGTCAGATATTTCACTTCCGTTCACTGAAAAATTCACTTCCGTTACGTCATAATATGCTAATTACACAAAAACGTCACGGACATGCGCGACACGTTTCGAACCCCATGCGCCCAGCCGTCAGGGGAGAGAGTTTCGCGGGAGCACGAAATCCCGACGGCTGGAGACTGAGCCTATAATTTGCCATATTTAGGATTATTTAAAAATATGACAATTCAATATATGCATATTGAAAAATTGATAGCAAGTTCGAGAAAAAAAATTGAATATCACTACGAAAAGTGGAATAAAATTTATCTATTAAACCTGTTTAGAACTTAAATACAAAGAGTATGAGCTTAAGAGCACCAGAGTTAAGTATTGTTTTGTTGTTGTTGTTGTTTTTTTTGTTCATTGTGTATGGTCTAAGTGTATAAATTTTGTAGTCAAAACTCGTGTAGTACTAGTCTGTAACCAATATAAATAAGAAAAAAAATTCTAGAGGAACGCATTATGAGCGTTTTTCCTCATTAATTGTAAATAACTGTATAGCAATATATTCTTTGTATTTATTTAACTTAAATGTAAATAAAGTATTGATTTTCACTTCATCTATCAATGGTTCCAAGAATGCCATCAAGCTTGTGATGCATGCCTTCACCTAATAACACTGATGGTATAAAGCTATATACCCTAAGGTATTTTCCAGTCAACCTTTGTTCTTTGCTGATACAAGCACTTTTTTTATCAAAAGCATTGAAGCCATCTTCATGGAAGATAAATGCTTGATTGAGAGCACATCCTGTTATTGTCTTTGGCTTATGAAAAAAATCAAACATGAAGTCATGACAGCTTAAGTAGAGACCATCATGGAGAGTGCCCCCAGGAGGAACAAGTCGTGCCATGTCTTCAACAGATATTACACTCTTGCATAGTGCTGGTAGAAATGTCTCCACAGTTTCATCCCAGAAGTATGAAAGATCTTTAAAATGTTGGCCATGCCAGGTTTCTTTTTGGAAGGTGTCTTCTT